TGGTAGAGCTAACAAAGGGCAAAAGCAGTGTAGCATAGACGATACATATGTTCATATGTGAGGATTCTGTTCTTAAGGAACCACGATTGGCTATTCTGTAAGATGTGTTTAACTTCGTGAATTCTATGTTCGAATTCCCCACCGAACACTTAATTAAGTACAATGAAAACATTTGTACAGGCAATAGATTCCATGCTTAGTTTAAAATACGAGCAATACAATACCCCGTAATTATATTTATTCTGGAACAGTTTACATTAAATACAAATTCCAAGTACTTCGGAACTGTGGCGCTATTCAACTGAGACAATTGTAAATATGAGCAAGCATAAAAAAGTTTGTGTTAATGTTTTTAAATGATTTCTCTGCTGTCTGCATTATTTATCAAAACCGACAGAATATGTTTAGTATTTTGCTACAAATTGTTGTTGATTATCAATTTAATATGTTTCCGAATGAACAGATATGAATGCTGTACAGTTTTAACTAATATTTTGTTTGAGACATCAAAATGCCACCACCTTTAACAGATACCTTGAAACAATACACATTGATAATGAAATGTTCATGTAATTGTGCAGATGACATGTGACTCTCTGACTCATCATAACAATATGAAAGATAAACCAAACAATAGCCAAACATATGTTAACAATGTAGTGCATGTATAGGACTTTCATATTGATGTTTGGGGTTGATATTTGATCATGTGTGATTATTCTGATTATTGTTTCATATGTTATAATATAAAATATTCAGTACTTCACTAATTTAAACAGGACTTGTATTTAATGTTGTATACGTTTGTGAAATAAAACATTGAGTATCATATTCAATTAAAAAGGATTCTTCTAACTCAGTCGTTTCCTGACCGCATACTACCCAAATGAACGATAAACAGGACGATTTCAATTTTCCGTTTGTGAACTTGTCTTAACATGTTGTAACATCTCATTTTACCAAACCAATGATGTTTAAATCTTGCAGTTGATTTAGAGTTAAAGAGCATGCTCCGAATATAATGTTACCAGCGACTTACCTTGTGTGATATACGCGACTTTTTATTATGTTTAATTGCTTTGTTTCCTAGTCGCTATACCGGTTCTCGCTTTGGGAACGTGCCATTTCTTTAATTTAACGGAATTTTAAATGGCGGATCGCGTCGATGAAGCAGAAATACTTACACTTTTGGAAAACTGGATTACCTGGTCTTTTTCTCCGTGTATTTTTTCAATGGTCTCCAGTGAAACCTTTCTTTTGTTTATAATTTGCAATAATTTTTTTGCGAATTGCGTTTTTGTTGACACTTCGGTATTGTCTAAAAGGTTAATAAAGAAGATGACGTGTTCCATATCCACTACAATTACATTCCTGTGAAGATTATTTATAGTAAAGTTTCATCAAGTGACCATCTTTCTATTTTCTCTCACATTTACCGTACAAATCAATACACTGCTGGCATTTAGACTCCGCCATTATACTGCTTACCAGGAAGATAGGTGGTATCTCAGGTAAAAGTCAGATAAGGTGACTTTGATATTGCACATTACTAAAAGTTATCTATAAAAAAACTAGTGTAAACATATGCACAGCTTCTTGGTTATCTGTCGTGTTGGTTTATAAATAATACCCAGTTTGATATAAATAATGTATATGATTGTGTTCGTTTTTAAACTTAGTTTCCTTGACGAGTTGCTTGTTATCCACTGTTTGGATGTACTATAGAAGTGTGAAGGTCGTTCACAATATATACGTGGGAGGACTCACGTAAAGTCTACAAATGTCCGCTCGTGGAATAGAAATAGAAATCAGAGAGTTGAAGACTTCTGTAAAATAACAATTCTTTATAAAATGTGTTACAATTATAGTCATTCGATTGTTGATATATTGTTACTTTATGTCTCATCATAATCTTACATTAGAGACTTGATGAATGGTAATTATTTTCCCAAAACTAAGTGAGGGACTTCACTGAGTGTCCTTTCTTTCTTTTTATTTTCTTCCGCAAAACGGCTCCTAATACTTTCATCAGACAACCTTCCGGACAATTATGAATATCCTCATTCTTGTCATATATTGTCAAACGTTGTCACATCACCAGATCTACGATTGTTAAACTGTAGTACAACTTTATCGGTCCTTTGTGAATAGATTATTAGCAACCAGAAAACACCATCTGCTGCTCACAACTCGTCCAATGTATCGATTCTACCATCGTCATCTTTAACATCGAATGATGTTCCTCTTCCACCTATATTACATTACGTATTGTAGCAGGTCTTGTCATCGTCGTACTGATCAAAGCAGCCATGTGTTTGATAAAAAGTCAAGAAACAACAAAACAAACACCAAAAGCAGACTGAAGCACGTCATTTTGCAGAGGCGACGATTGATGCATATCATCCTTATTATGTTGATATTGATGCTCATTATCATACAGTATTATCAAATTTGTAGAAAAAACAACGATAGCCCATTTAAGCCCAGGGTGACTATACATATTATCATTTACATAGTGTTAATTGTGAATATGAAAGTATAGATAACTTGTACGATCGTACTACTGACTTTGGATTACAGTATGTACAATGGCAAAGACGATCAGACGGAGAGTGAGTATGATCTCATCAAAGACAATTGTAAGCTACCCTGTTTCAGTGGAGCTTGATAAGAGCGAGAGAAGTGTATCAACGAACGATACTCGTGATGTGAGATTTGTGTTCTTGAATTGATTCGTTCCTGTAAGCGTCAACTTCGTCATTAAATACAATTGAAATCCATGTGCTGGTAATATGTTCAATTTTACCTTCAAATATTGTAGAATATAGCATCCCACAATAATGAAGTATAATTAAATTTTTAAACAATAATAAACAAGGCAAAATTATTTGTCAACATACATGTCCAAAATAGAAAATAGAAATTGGATCGATAGGCTAGCCATTTACCATATCGCCTTTCACGTCCAGGAAACTATTAATACAAAGTTTTCATTTTTTAATCAATATTTATAATTCCCGCCCGACTTTAGGTTGCATCTTTTCTATATAACATAAAAACAAATTGAAAACCCTGAGCAATTCATGACGCAATGAACCTTTGACAAACCCCTTTGACATTGACGACTTTATTTACCAGATTTATATCGATATTGACATCGATGAATACAAAATCGGAATTAATCTAACTAATAATAAAATACTGTGTAGCTTCATGGATACATCCACATTCACAGACTGGAGACTTGCAGATTTTCATTGAATAATAGAAGTTCAGCTTACTTGCTTAATTCCTTAATTGGCATATTTGTGTATTGATTTGCCTCGATCTATATATCATTTTAAAATATTTCTGGTGTAATATTTATTTGCAGTTTGTTGACTTCTGTAAGAGTAGGTATTAAGATAATGAACAGCAATCCTTTATAAGATCCTTCTCTGTTACCCAGCCTACTTTTGAAATATATTCTGTATTGTAAGGTTTCCTTGAAAACTCAGTCATACTATTCAAGTCGCCTGAAGTACATATGCTATATATTACATGTTTACGTTGGTCAGTACATGTGTCCCATATGATATCGACTCATTCAATCATTGAAATTATGAATGAGGTGTCCGTTGTTATAAGAAGTTTATTTTTTCCTTCTTTATGCTTTATGCTATGCGTTAGAGTTTTCGCTATATACAGTAACCTCCTTTTAACTTTCGTTTAGATAATAACCGTAACACAGTAGGGCCAGGATAGTTTCGTTCACCGGGTAGCTCAACTGGTTTGAGCGATATAATACAATCTGAAGTTCATGGTTTAAATTCCGGTCTAACTCCGCTGAGTTTTTACACAAAAAACACTGATAAAAGCATGCAGGGAAAACGTTTCCAATACTTAGTTACAGCTTTTGGCAGTGGTACTAGGATCCTTAAGTGTCATTAGATTAGATTACTTAATATTTCATGAGATTTATCAGAGATATTTTTATGTGGTGCATTTATCTATCATCACTTTGGAATGTAACTCCAATGTATTCTGTTAAGGTAGACGTTAGATAAAAGTTACACCCTGATTATTACGGTAAATCTCATTCATTAAGTAAGCCATATATCTTCGTGTTAAATCGGTATGTTTGTCCATTACGATGTAAAAAGTATGAGCATCAAGGGCCATGTAGCTATTGGTTTTTTTTCTCTCACGAAAACAAAAAGTTGCAAGTAACATTTGGAAAAATTATATCGATAATGGAATGATTTACAGTGGATAGAATATATGCGCGAGATGATTCGTCTGTTCAGCAATAACTGACATAATTTCACAATCATTGAACTGTAACACTCTCTTGATGGTTGGGATGGCCATAAATATATACATCATTATTCAGCTTGGGTGTCAGTCATATATCTTAATCTTTTCCTACTTGATTGATATAAGGCCCTAATGCACAGAACATATTTTCGTCGTTCGGGTTTCTGCATAGAATTTCTCGTCTTTAAATATGTGCCTCAGTCTTTTGTATTTCTAGTGATTATTTGATGTCACAAAGCGTCCAAAATCTGAAAATCAACATTGCTGCCAGCGGGTCGGGCGACATCTCCACTTTAATGGTGTGATATTTAATCATGTACTTTCTTACTTTATATTCCTATAGTTTAGTATGCAACATTTTGTTTCTATTATCATGATCAATGGATGTTTGTGTTTGAGACAAAGAAAGCATTACCTAGTGATGTCAATACATATGCAATGCTTAATCATTAAAAATCATTACTGGTTCAATATCTTAAAAGTTTGTTTAACCAGATATGAAATCTGTGTTTCTATTTGTATCATGTTTACCGTACAAATCAATACCTTGCTGTCATGTCATATTAAAAAAAAAATCCTCGGACCAGGAAGATATGTCTTATCGCAGAAAATAAATCAGATCACGGGGTTTTGTTATTGCACGTTGTGCAAACAATGTTTATCTTTTTAGATCTAGATTATACACATTCTTGACAACACACTATATAGTACTTAGTTTGTGTTGAAATTCTTATTCGGTTTGATACAAATAACATGCATACTGCCGTGTCAATTTTTCAACTTCTTTCACTGACAAAGATGTTGACTATCTGCTGTTCAGCTGGTGATGTATATGTGTCAACGGAAAAACGGACGTGGGCGGCTTCACATCAAGACAACAACTGCAGTCTTGCGAAGTCAAGTGGAAATATAACTATAAATTATACAGTTTCTCAAGCACCGACTTTAGCTTGGGTTAATGAAATTTTGTGTTCCACTCGTAGAGTCTGGATCAATATGACTGGCTGTTTTAATTTGGCAATAACTTCTGACAGAAGTAGACATTTTCCGGTTGATGGTTACGAGGACCCCGTTGTTTTCTGTCTGCAGAAATGTGATTCCGATAAAGTGTTCTTAACATCTACAGAATGTTACTGTAGTGAGAATGTAAACGTAACAATTGATTCTCCGTGTCAGGGATGCAGGTGTGGTAAACATAACAATAGAGTGTGTGGCTCTAGTGAAACTACTTTAAATAATGACACCAAGTGCGTGTGTGGTTTTGAGAAAACCAATATTTCAACAAATGAATCGGGAAATTGTATGTCAACAAACGTTTCTGGTAATATTTTTGTATATGAGGTGCAAAATTGCAGTCAACAAATGCCTGTCCTGTGCACTGATAACCGAAATGCACAATCATTCTCGCCTGACCAGCAAACCAACTGGACAGGAGCTTTAACAAAATGTTCCCAAGGAGGTCATTTCATTGGAGTGAAAAACGGAAGTAGCGCAAACCAAAACTACGATCAGACAATATGGATAGGGTTATTTAGTGTAGAATTAACACAGATAACATGCATGGCAATAAACATAACTAATGATGATCATAAAATAACCCAACAAAACTGTTCACAGTTATTGCCTTCACTATGCATCGACCAAACAGTCATCACTTCAAGTAATCAAGCAACGGAGCTACCAAGTACGCCAGTTGCGACTTCCCAGAACACAACAAATTCTTTGGTGACTGAATATTCTTCGACTTCAACAATTGTTAGTCAAACACATAGCTTGCCAACAGTACAAGCGATCAAGTCGTCAGCTGCGACTTCATCACCATCACCAGATGAAGTTGCAACACAGGCGACAACAAAATGTGAACATCCGTCTGCAGGTTCTGCCGACCAGAGTACTACTACTACTACTACTACTACTACTATAACTAAATTATCGACAGAAAGAACCACACAAAAAGAAAATGCCAACCTGAAATCGTCCTCAGGGTTCCCCACACTTGCGGTAGGCTTCGGAGCTGGAGGTGCGGTAGCGCTCATCCTAGTGTTATTAATGGTGGTGGTTTTCTACAGAAGGCGAAAACAACACAACTCCAACAATTCAAAGAATGATGTCTCTAAATCGTATGATGGAAATCCAACAAATACACAACAAATTACAAGTGAAACGATGATTAAAGATAATAAAGACTATACTGTAGAGAATAGAATCATCTCCAATGTTCTTTCTGATGATACAGAGGACAGTGCTGGACTTGGAGACTACGACCATCTAGACACACACAAAAACCGGGAGTTAACGCACAACCACGGGAGGCCGGCTGAGGCGTATTACAACAGCAGGTATGACCACGTGGGACATCAACTGGTCAGTTCACAAACTGACCAGGATGTAAGTGCGTATAACAACTTCTCACAAAATAATGAAAGTGTATTATTTTCTGGAGAAGAATATGACCATATTGTGCGAAATATCGACATGTATGACCATATGGGAACGGAGTTAGTCACAACAGCCGAAGAGTCGGACTATGATCATACCAGAAGTGGTGAACGTGTGTGGAGTGAAACGAGTAGAAATGACACAGGTAGTATCACTCCGAAAAATGTTAACACGTTCCACGATCATCCTTCAAGCGAGGGTAACTATGACAAACCAGGAGGAAATGGCCAATGGCACACCTTGAATTCCGACAGACCTAAGAACGGTCAGAATAAGTATTACACAGAAGCACAATACGACCATTTGCCAAGCGCGAGAGTAAAAAGAGAGATATCACATTCACATGAAGGAGACTATGACCATACGCTCGCGGTTGATGAATATGATCGCATCGGCAGTGTAAATAAAGGACACAGGCGTTCTGTTGTTCAAGAAGACGAGTACGATCATGTTACAGAGCTTTGAATTCAACGATAACGCCCAAGGTAACCAAATGTAACAAACTCTAACTTAATTCATTATTGCTGGCTACAAAGTACATTACACGTATATCGACATTTTATAACAGTCAACATACAATAGTGCTGGGAATCGAAATGATCGATGACAGGAAAAACAGCTTTATTATGTCGTTTCTAGACATGATCTGAGCACGGCATGTAGCGTCTTAAACCGGGAAATGTGCAAAAAATATTCTTAAATACCAATCTTTGACATACACAAACGGTTGTTTGGTTTTCTTTGATTGTATAGGGTTTTAATTATAAATAACCCATATGTTGTACGTGTACATTTCTCCTATCAGGGGTCGAGACTGATAAAGGAACACTTCCAAAATGACCATATAATAAGAAAGGGCCCTATTTAAACCGCGTTCCACACCTCGCTGGTAAAATCAATGCTTTAACCAACTTTGTGATTGGTTTGTAAGTATTTTTTTAATATTTTATGGTTTCTAAATAGCTAAAAGTGATTTTGCACACTTCCCGGTTCACGTAGCCACATGCCGTTCTCAGATCATGTTACGAACAACGGCTTTTTTCGGTTTGAAATGGTCACATACCCTCTGCTGTCTGTAACGGTCGCCATCTTAAAAAGACCAGGGCCCGTATTCATGAAACTGTTCTCATGCTCAGTCATTGATTTTGTGCTCAAGCCTAATTTACTCATGTACTATATAGTTTAAAGGACACTATCGCCTTAGAATATTTATAAGATACCGGGCCAACAGACGAAAGTATTAAATATTCTCGCGGTTCGACAGTATAGAGAGATTTATTTGTCTTCTCTGGCACGGAGATATCGTGCAGGCAGTTTGCCACGTGGGAACACGGGTGTGTAGCGTGTATACGCTGTAGTGGTCATTCTCTAGCTGTCTATCGTATAGTGCGGTCACGGCTAAAAATTCAACTTATGCAAGCAACAGTTACAAAATTTACACCATGGACGAGGAGATGAAAAGTACCATAGCAGGTCCATGCGGCGGTTAGCAGATCACAATATGATATGCTTGGGCATTTAGATAGTCTAATTTCTCAAAAATTAGGCTCGTTTGAAAGGAAGGTGTGCAAGAATTCTGAGGCGTCGTTGGAGAAAATACAGCAGTCGATACTAAGTGCGGACACTTACAAATTTAATATGAAAAGTTGTGAGGTGCAGCATAAATTTAATTCCAAAGTACGGGCTAAATTGGTGTACGCCACGCATTCTTTATTGTCGGAACCAGATACAACGCGTAACAAAATAGAAGAAGGTATGTCAATGTTAGACTATCGGAACAAGTTGGTTAAGCTAGCGGACAGTTCTGAGTCCGGCTGGAAAACGGTGGATGAGTATATAGCGAATCCTATAGCATCAGACTCGGACGATGAGAAGAAAATGGACCGAGCGATATCCAGGGCTAATAAAAAAAGTTAAAGCGTCGAAAACAAAGTCGACGCGTGGGAGGAACAGATACAGGCCTTATCGTCGGGAGAACACGGAGACGAGGAACCCCATGACTACAAGCCCAGCGCGAGAGAGACAGGGATATTTCCCCAGGAGTGTCAACAAACCCGGCACCTGTTTCGGCTGTGGAAAGGCTGGGCATTGGCGACAGGAGTGTCCTGGGGTCCATGGAGGGGTTTCGAACCCATCGGCTCATAGTATAAGTAGGTCTTTGTTTACTATGCATGTGCGAACATCAGTCATAAACGAGAACAAGCAGGTAAGAGATGATAAGTGTTGTCCTGTACATAACGGTAATGGTACAGAAACTGAGCGTTCGCCGGTCGGACGTTTGAAAGGTAGTATTCAGTATTGGGAGAAAAAAGGTACCAGTGAGGCGGTTCTCTCCATAATAGAGAGTGGATACAAACTCCCATTTAGGGAAATTCCGCCAAGTGTGGTATTGTCGAATAACAAGACTGCACGGGATAATCCCGACTTTGTTAAAGCAGAAATTGAAAAGCTATTACGACTTGGGTGCGTGACAGAAGTACCGTTATGTCCAGCTGTCGTAAATCCGCTGACATTAGCCTTCAATAAGACAGGTAAGTCACGCCTAGTTCTGGACTGTAGACACATCAATCCGTATTTGCATCAATTTAAATTCAAATATGACGACGCTAAAGTAGCGAGGGAGGTGCTTCAGACGGGTGATTACCTGTTTACTTTTGATTTGAAGTCTGCATACCATCATATTGAAATTTTCTCAGAAGACAGAAAATTTCTTGGTTTTCAATATGAAATAGAAGGTAGGACGCGGCAATACATCTGGAATGTTCTCGCATTCGGTGTTTCTACAGCAGCATTTCAATTCTCAAAGGTTTTAAGAGAAGTCGTCAAATCTGTTCGTAGTGCAGGTCATACGCTAATTATGTATTTGGACGACGGTATCGGGGGTCATGAGACGGAAGGCGGGGCCAATGAGGTTAGCAGGTATGTTAAGCGGGCATTAACGGATTATGGCTTCCTCATCGCTGAAGAGAAATGTCATTGGAAAGCATCGAGATGCGCTACCTGGCTAGGGTATACATGGTCTATGGATGTAGGCGTGGTTAGGGTTACTACAGACAGGATTGATCGGCTTTTGTATTGGTTATCCAATACAATGACACAGGTCACACAAAGAGGTCAGGTATTGTTCTCCGTCCGGTATGTAGCGGCTTTGGTCGGCCGAATCATATCAATGCATGGTGTGGTTGGGTCCGTCGCTCGTTTGCGTACTCGAGCGTTGTACACATGTGTATTATCTAGAGCAAGTTGGAATGCGCGTGTTATGCTTACGGCAGAAGCTATTGACGAGATAGAATTCTGGTTGTTAAAGGTGCAATCCATGAACGATAAAGGCTCTACATTATTGAATGAGCACGCAGTGTGTGATGTTGTGGTATGCACGGACACATCTGCAGTGGGATACGGGGGATATGTACAAGAGGTGCATGGTGAGTCCAAACACGAGGGTGATTTAGATCAGATAATCGATATTGGTTACGGTGGGTTTGTATGCACACGTGATGGTGTACCGTTAGATGAACACGGTGTTGACATTGGTGTACATGTAGATTCGGGTGACGCCACTGTAGTGGTAATCTCTCCGAGAGATGGTGTGGAGGCATATGATGCTGTTTACGACACTCAGGGTGTTGTACGACCCGCAGGGGGTCAGGGCCACAGAGACCCCGGTGAGGGGCGATCTTTGAGAGGTCATGTCATCACAGATAACACCCCGAGTGTTTGTCGCCTAATGAAAGGCGGGGCCAAGGCTGGCCCCAGTATAGGGCGACCTTTGAGAGGTCAGTGTGGTAGCACTCATAGTGCGGATCGATACTTAGGGGGTCATATTATCCCTAAGACAGGACGGCCTTTGAAAGGTCAGGTGAGTAGTGACGTAGTTAAAAATCCAGCAGAGGTTTTTTCACGCAGTCAGGAGGTGAGGCTCCCCACGGTGAGGGATCTGTATCACATGGATAAGTGTATAGCGTTGGGTACGTGGAATGAAAATGAGAGCTCGTACAGCTCAACTTGGCGAGAATTGGAGGCCACGAAAAAGGTAAACACGTTAAGTTGTTGACGGATAACAAGAAGGTTTGTTCTATAGTGAAGGTGGGTAGTAGGAGGTCAGATCTACAGAATATCGCCAGAGAGGTAAATGATATGTGCGATGCAAATAGCATAAACATTAGTGAACAGTGGTTACCCAGAGACATGAATGAGACTGCTGATTATTTAAGCAGATGCAAAGATGCTGACGACTGGTCAGTACAGGCTTGGGTTTTTGAGTTATGTGAGGCAGCATGGGGACCACACAAAATTGATCGTTTCGCAACAGATTACAACAGTAAGTGCATACGGTTTAATTCCAAGTGGTGGTGTCCAGGCACGGGAGCCATGGATGCGTTCACTGTAGGGTGGCAAGGGGTCAACAACTGGGTCGTTCCACCTCCGAGACTGGTTGTTCAGGTTTTGGTCAAAATGAGGGACGAATTGACATGTGGGACGCTTATCGTTCCTCTATGGAGAAGCGCGGTTTATTGGCCCATATTATGTCCCACAGAGGGAGTGTTCGGTCATTACATTGTAGACGTTCGTCTGTTGTCGAACAGGGGTGTCACGTTGAGGGAGCGGGGCAACAACGGGTGTTTCGGAGTCGATGTTTTGACTTTTGAAATGTTGGCCCTGAGGTTAGATTTTAGGAATTGAAATCAGGTTACGGTATAAGCTATACTCTATATTTTGTTCGTGTGTTTTAACAGGCATAGGACTGAGGGGATCCATAGATGATGCGATCAAGGCCTCGGGGGTCACGGAAGGCTCTCCACTATACAAGACGGCAGACGGTATGGCGGAGAGGCTATTATTGAGCTAGAGTGCAAGCACCAACATCAAATATTACGGAGCATTCAAAAGGTGGGAGCATTTTAGTACTGAACACGGATTTACAGCTCTCCCTGCGAGTCCTACCCATGTGGCATTGTATTTAAACTTTTTGTTGGGAAACGGTTCTACTTTCGCGACGGTGTCGGCAGCAGTGTATGCCATTGAATGGGTACACAGAGTGAACGGACGCGAGGATCCTACATGTAACTCATTTGTGCAGAACTTAGTCGAGACGTCTAAACGTGTTGCTAAAAAGCCTACACGCAAGAAGGAACCGGTGACATCGGACATTCTTATTGATTTATGTTAAATGTTTTCATGTTCAGATGACTTGATGGTGGTTAGGGACCTTTCAACGATATTAATATCTTTTTCGGGGCTTTTACGTTTTAACGAGCTTAGTGCTTTGCGTTGTTCGGATGTTAAGTTTTCCGGAGACCATTTTACGCTAATTATTAGAAAAAGTAAGACAGACCAGTATCATTTCGGTAGTGACGTGGTTATTAGCAAGGGTATCACGGTCGCGTGTCCATACACAATGTTGACGAAATACTTTAATTTGGCGGAGATAGATTTGGAATCCCACCAATTCTTGTTGCGGATTCTCTTGAGAATTGTTTGTTAGTAACACAAAAATTAGGTTTGTAAAGAAAAAATTATTACAATCGTTCTCCTTGTCCTTTCTTTGTTATTTCTCTAAGCACGACAGGCTAGTCCGGCAAATGAGTATTTGCATGTTGTGTTATTTATTTCGGATTGGAGGTGAAGAGAAGACTTAAATATTCTCGCCGTTCGACAGTATAAAGAGAATTATTTGTCTTCTCTGGCACGGAGATATCGTGCAGGCAGTTTGCCACGTGGGAACACGGGTGTGTAGCGTGTATACGCTGTAGTGGTCATTCTCTAGCTGTCTATCGTATAGTGCGGTCACGGCTAAAAATTCAATTTCGGCCTATATAATATTTGCCGTTTTTATAGCATGTGTTACAGAGTACGGAACGCGGAGCGTTAAGCTTTAAAAAGGGCAGGGAGGCTATGCGCGGATAATAGTATTTTTTGTTTTTGTTTGTGGTAACATGTGTACGTTTATAGGGAGTGTGCGGGGTTTTTGTAAGGACCGGGAGAGCATCCGGTGAGGTAGCCATATTCTTGCTTTTTTGACAGCGGTCTCTCTGTTGCCCTTGAGAATGTATTGCACTGGCTGTGGGATGCAGGTTTCCGGGGATATCTCCGGTTATTCCTGAGCGCGCGGTACATTCGAGGATAGGGGTTTAGTATGAGGCGTTTGTGTACACCAATGAGTGCGCGGAGTGCGCGGGTTAGGGGCGTTTGTATCACGCCCGCGAGTGTGGGGTGAGGAGCCTTTGCACAGGCTCATTCATATACAAATGAAACAAGCAGAATTCAATTAAACGCCGACTGCTCTAAGCACGACAGGCTAGTCCGGAATAGATTATTGGCAACCAGAAAACACCGTCTGCTGCTCACAAATCGTCCAATGTATCGATTCTACCATCGTCATCTTTAACATCGAATGGTGTTCCTCTTCCACCTATATTACATTACGTACTGTAGCAGGTCTTGTCATCGTCGTACTGGTCATAGCAGTCATATGTTTGATTAAAAGTCGAAAGCGACAAAACAAACACCAAAAGCAGACTGAATCACGTCGTTTTGCAGACGTAATCATTGATGCATTGTATCCTCCTCATTATGTTGATATTGATGCTCATCACAATACAGTTTATCCAGAATTGTTGAAAACAACGATTTACGCCCATGGTGTCGTACTGATCTCAGTATGTACAAGACGATTAAACGAAGAGTATGTATGACCCCATCAAAGACAATTGTAAGCTACCTTGTTTATATGATACTAAAGAGGAGCTTGATGAGAGCGAGAGGAGTGTATCAACGAACGATGTGCATGATAATTTGTGCGATTTGTGTTCTTAGAAGAATTCGTTCCTGTAAGCGTCAACTTCGACATTAAATACAATCGAAATCCATGTGCTGGTAATATGTTCAATTTTACCTTCAAATAGTAAAGAATATAGCATCCCACAATAATGAAGTAGTATCAAATATTTAAACAATAATAAACAGGGCAAAATTATTTGTCAACATACATGTACAAAATAGAAAATAGAAACTGGATCGATAGGCTAGCCATTTACCATATCGCCTTTCACGTCCAGGAAACTATTAATACAAAGTTTTCAATTTTTAATCAATATTTATAATTCCCGCCACACTTTAGGTTGCATCTTTTCTATATAACATAAAAACAAATTGAAAACCCGTGAGCAATTCATGACGCAATGAACCTTTGACAAACCCCTTTGACATTGACGACTTTATTTACCAGATTTATATCGATATTGACATCGATGAATACAAAAATCGGAATTAATCTAACTAATAATAAAATACTGTGTAGCTTCATGGATACATCCACATTCACAGGCTGGAGACTTGCAGATTTTCATTGAATAATAGAAGTTCAGCTTACTTGCTTAATTCCTTAATTGGAATATTTGTGTATTGATTTGCCTCGATCTATATATCATTTTAAAATATTTCTGGTGTAATATTTATTTGCAGTTTGTTGACTTCTGTAAGAGTAGGTATTAAGATAATGAACAGCAATCCTTTATAAGATCCTTCTCTGTTACCCAGGCTACTTTTGAAATATATTCTGTATTGTAAGGTTTCCCTGAAAACTCAGTCATACTATTCAAGTCGCCTGAAGTACATATTAATATATATTAAATGTTTACGTTGGTCAGTACATGTGTCCCATATGATATCAACTCATTCAATCATTGAAATTATGAATGAGGTGTCCGTTGTTATCAGAGGTTTTCTTTTTCTTCTTCTGTATTTTGTTAAGGTAGACGTTAGATAAAAGTTACACCCTGATTATTACGGTAAATCACATTTATTAAGTGAGCCATATATTTTCGTGTTACATCGTTATGTATGTCCATTACGAGGTAAAAAGTATGAGCATCAAGGGCCATGTAGCTATTGGGTTTTTTTCCACGAAAACAAAAAGTTGCAAGTAACATTTGGAAAAATTATATCGATAATGGAGTGATTTACAGTGGAAAGAATATATGCGCGAGATGATTCGTCTGTTCAGCAATAACTGACATAATTTCAAAATCATTGAACTTTAACACTCTCTTGATGGTCGGGATGGCCATAAATATATACATCATTATTCAGCTTGGGTGTCAGTCATATACCTTAATCTTTTCCTCCTTGATTGTTATAAGGCCATATTGCGCAGAACATATTATAGTCGTTCGAGTTTCTGCATAGACTTTCTCATCTTAAAATATGTGCCTCAGTCTTTTGTATTTCTAGTGATTATTTGATGTCACAAAGCGTCCAAAATCTGAAAATTAACACTGCTTCCAGCGGGGCGGGCGACATCTCCACTTTAATGGTGTGATATTTAATCATGTACTTTCTTACTTTATATTCCTATAGTTTAGTATGCAACATTTTGTTTCTGTTATCATGATCAATGGATGTTTGTGTTTGAGACAAAGAAAGCATTACTTAGTAATTTCAATACATATGCAATGCTTAATCATTAAAAATCATTACTGGTTCCATATCTAAAAAGTTTGTTTATCCAGATATGAAATATGTGTTTCTATTTGTATCATGCTTACCGTACAAATCAATACCTTGCTGTCATGTCATATTCAAACATTTTTCCTCTGACCAGGAAGATATGTCTTATCGCAGAAAATAAATCAGATCACGTGGGTCTGTTAATGCACGTTGTGCAAACAATGTTTATCTTTTTAGATCTAGATTATACACATTCTTGACAACACACTATATAGTACTAAGTTTGTGTTGAAATTCTTATTCGGTTTGATACAAATAACATGCATACTGCCGTGTCCATTTTTCAACTTCTTTCACTGACAAAGATGTTGACTATCTGCTGTTCAGCTGTGGATGTATATGTGTCAACAGAAACACGGACTTGGGCCGCTTCACATCAAGACAACAACTGCAATCTTGCGAAGCCATGTGGAAATGTAACTTTAAATTATACAGTTCCTAATGTACCGACTCTAGCTTGGGTTAATCAAACTATGTGTTCCACTCGTAGAGTCTGGATCAATATGACTGGCTGTTATAATTTGACAATAACTTCTATTAGAAGTAGACATTTTCCGGTTGCTGGTTACGAGGACCCCGTTATTTTCTGTCTGCAGGAATGTGATTCCGAAAAGGTGTTCTTAACCTCTACAGAATGTTACTGTAGTGAGTATGTAAACGTAACAAGTGACTCTCGATGCCAGGGAGGCATGTGTGTTAAACACAACAATAGACTATGTGGCTCTAATGGGAATAATAACACCAAGTGTGTGTGTGGTTATGAGAAAACCAATATTTTAACAAATGAATCGGGAAATTGTATGTCAACAAAAGTTTCTGGAAATATTTTTGTATATAAGGTGCAAAATTGCAGTCAACAAATGCCTGTTCTGTGCACTGATAACCAAAATGTACCATCATTCTCGCCTGGCCAGAAAACCAACTGGACAGGAGCTGTAACAAATTGTTCCAGGGGATTTAATTTCATTGGAGTGGAAAACGTACGTAACGAAAACATCAACTACGATAAGACGTTGTGGATAGGGTTATTTAGTATAGAATTAACACAACTAACATGCATAGCAATAAACATAACTCATCATGGTCATAAGATAATCAAACAAAACTGTTCACAGTCATTGCCTTCTCTATGCATAAACCAAACAGCCACCACTTCAACCAATCAGACAACGGAGCTAACAAGTACGCATGTTGCAACTTTCCAAAGCACAACCCATTCTTCGGTGACTGGGTATCCTTCGACTTCAAGTCAAACACATAGCTTGCCAAAAGAGCATGCGACCAAGTCGTCAACTGTAACGTCTTCACCAGATGACGCTGCAACACAGGCGATAACAAAATGTGACAATCCGTCTTCAGGTTTTGTTGACCCTAGTATCCATACAACTGACAACACTGAAACTACTACTACTACTACTACTACTACTACTACTACATTATCGACAGAAAGAGGCCCACCAAAAGCAAATGCCAACCGGAAATCGTCCTCTGAGTTCCCCACACTTGCGGTAGGCTTTGGAACCGGGGGTGCGGTAGCGCTCATCCTAGTGCTATTCATGTTGGTGATGTTCTACAGAAGGCGACAACGACACAGATCCAACAATTCCAAGAAAGATGTCCCTAAATCGTATGCTGGAAAACCAACAAATACACAACAGATTACAAGTAAAACGATGATTAAAGACAATAATGACCATACTTCTGAGAATAGAATCCTCTCCAATGTACTTTCCGATGATACAGAGGGAAGTGCTGGACTTGGAGACTACGACCATCTAGACACACACAAAAATCGGGAGTTAACGCACAACCACGGGAGGCCGGCTGAGGCGTTTTACAACAGCAGGTATGACCACGTGGGACATCAACTGGTCAGTTCACAAACTGACCAGGATGGAAGTGCGTATAACAACTTCTCACAAAAGAATGAAAGTTTATTATTTTCTGGAGCAGAATATGACCATATTGTTCGAAATACCGACATGTATGACCACATGGGAACGGAGTTAGTCACAACAGCCGAAGAGTCGAACTATGATCATACCGGAAGTGGAGAACGTGTATGGGGTGGAACGGGTAGAAATGACACAGGTAAGGGATGTAATAACAACACGGCTCCGAAAAATAGGAACACGTACCACGATCATCCTTCAAGCGAGGGTAACTATGACAATACAGGAGGAAATGGCCAATGGCACACCTTGAATTCCGACAGACCTAGGAACGGTCAGAATAAGTATTACACAGAAGCACAATACGACCATTTGCCAAGCGCGAGAGTAAAAAGAGAGATATCACATTCACATGAAGGAGACTATGACCATACGCTCGCGGTTGATGAATATGATCACATCGGCAGTGTAAATAAAGGACACAGGCGTTCTGTTGTTCAAGAAGACGAGTACGATCATGTTACAGAGCTTTGAATTCAACAATAACGCCCAAGGTAACCAAATGTAATAAACTCTAACTTAATTCATTATTGCTGGCTACCAAGTACATTACACGTATATCGACATTTTATAACAGTCAACATACAATAGTGCTGGGAATCGAAATGATCGATGACAGGAAAAACAACTTTATTATGGTGAGTTTGTATGAGTTATTGGGAAATTAAGCTCCATGTTCCCGATTACAGTCTGTATGATACAATGCACTCTGGGTCTATAGTCTTCACTATTTTGAAGTGGCAGTCGTTACAGACAGTAGAAGGTAGGTGTCCATTTCAAACATGTTGTTTCTAAACATGATCTGAGCACGGCATGTAGCGTCTTAAACCGGGAAATGTGCAAAAAATATTCTTTAAGACCAATCTTTGACATACACAAACGGCTGTTTGGTTTTCTCTAATTGTATAGGGTTTTAATCATAAATAACCCATATGTTGTACGTGTACAATTCTCCTATCAGGGGGTCGCGACTGATGAAGGAACTCTTCCAAAATGACCATATAATAAGAAAGGACCCTATTTAAACCGCGTTCCACACCTTGCTGGTAAAATCAATGCTTTAACCAACTTTGTGATTGGTTTGTAAGTATTTTTTTAAGTATTTTATGGTTTCTAAATGGCGAAAAGTGATTTTTGCACACTTCCCGGTTCACGTAGCCACATGCCGTTCTCAGATCATGTTACGAACAACGGCTTTTCCGGTTTGAAATGGTCACATACCCTCTGCTGTCTGTAACGGTCGCCATCTTAAAAAGACCAGGGCCCGTATTCATGAAACCGTTCTCATGCTCAATCATGGATTTTGTGCTCAAGCCTAATTTCTTGTTCCGTTTATAATTTAAAAATGAAATAATATTTTGTCAATGATTTGGAAAACAGTTTGAAGATTCTTGAAGCCAAATACATTTTTGACTTTTTGATCGTTTGATATGATTTAAGTGAGTAACCAGAAAGTTGATTTGAACACAAAATCCATGCTTGAGCACGAAAAACGGTTTCATGAATACGGTCCCAGTTCTTAAGCACAAAACATCCGGGAAATTGAATTTAAAGCACGATACTTCGGATTCTCGAGTATTTTGCTGACTACACCAGCAGGGTGTTATGGACTGAAAAGCTTGATACATGACCAAAAAAACCAACACATGTACTATATAGTTTAAAGGACACTATCGCCTTAGAATATTTATAAGATACCGGGCCAACAGACGAAAGTAGTTATTATTCTGTAAAAAGCACCAAGAACTGGTATAATAATGTGAAAGGGTGCCAAACAATGTCTCTTATTCTACAAAATCAGATTTGTTAAGCGGTTAGGTTGGGATGTGAATTATAATTCCAAGTCTGGTGTGTTTTATAGTTAATAGTAAATTGACCTACCGAAGCAGAGCACTATTGAGTGAAATAAATCAGGATAAATGTTACATTACAGATAACTCATAATGTGTGTGAATTCTCAACATATAATATAAATAATATAATATTAATACAGCCAAATCCGGATATATTGAAATCCTCCAGGTAGTACATAGAACTAATATGCGTTACCATGACCCAGAATTATCCCCGTAATGTAGTGAAAACAATCCACAGGACAAATCAATAGTACTGCAAGTATATAACATGGTAAAAGCATATTCAACTACCGGTCACTTACGGTCAGCTTAAATTTCGAACCAATAATTTATGCTTCCAAAAATTATGTGTTTATCCCAAACAACAAAAATGTTTGATTGTTTTTAAGCTAAGTTTATTTTATTTTTGTAGTTGTAATGTCTTATGTTTTTTGAAGTCTCGTTAACACAAAATTGAAGCAGAATGTGATCCAGCTTGTGCACATTTGTACATTACAGGCGACTCAACTTTGTTGCCGACGCTGGCTCATCAAAGTCACCAATATGTCCCTTATATATGGGTACATGTTGGTATTTTGCATATGGTAACATTCGTATTTAAGGAATTTATTGCATGGCGATTGTAAGCCATAGAACAAGGGTAATTTCATAATCTATACGTTGATATTCTTTAAATCAATATATAGTTGTAACAGTTTGAATAAAATAAAATTTCTTGACTAAACAGATTTACATGTACTACTTATGCAATGAACATGGTTATACTAGTATATATATGTTATTAGTGTATACACCACCAATGAAGCAACTGTACCAATAATATCGGAATATGAAGTTCAAAATGTTTTGCCAATTTTTATCTGTTTACTTATATGCTTTACAAATTTATATGAAACTGCGTTGTGTATTATTATGTATTCAAAATGGTACAATATGTAGTGATTGTAAATATAAACAGAAATGTATGTACAAGTGATATCATTTTTTTTTTTTTACAAATTAACAATCTGTAATTATACATGTACCTCTCACATTATTGTATGTGCTATGAATGAAGATGTTTTTGTTGTTTTTATGGTAAACATTGATATGAAATATACTGGAGTTAGAAGTGATGTAATCTAACATCGGTTATTAAAAGACCATGTACGTACCTTTTTCACTACAACGTATGAAATATATACTGTCTCGTTTTAATACGATTCCTTGAAACATTATTATTTCTAATATAAAATTGAAGAAAGACTATGAACATTTTTACTTCAGTTTTATTTTGAGTGATAAAAGTTTTGACCCTCTTTACATTACATTGCTGATCATTTACATATTTACAAACTGTTTAAAGAGAAAGTATGACATGTATATATACTAACACTTAAAACATTCAGAAACCCTTACACTTTGTAGTCATATACAATAATTACATAAGGGTAGTATAAAATACATCCATCTTGGTTCTTGCATACCGTGTATAATTTCAAAGACACATTTATCATTCGCTCTTGATCACATTTATTCACCAGTATGATCAGAACATAATTGTCGCGGACAATGCATTTTTTCAGTCCATTATGACGATTTGTTTTTATCGATACAGTCCAATTCTCATTTGGAGTATCATGTTACCGCCTGTCTTACTGACTAGCGGAAGAAGTCATACTACCTTCTACGTTTATACTATGTAACGGAGGTCATCATTTTTTCAATGCCTCTGCTAGAAGTCAAGCCCGCAACCTCTGGCTTACTTCTCTTACGCTCTTCCGAGTGAGCAAAAGAGAAATTCTCTTTAGCTCATTCGGTAGAGCGTAAGACTAGTAAGCCAGAGGTCCCGGGTTCGACTCCTACCGGAGGCATTGAAAAATAAATGACCTCTATTACAGCTATAAAATATCACACACACAAAAAAATGTTCGAAACATATTCCGCCTTCACAAACTAAATTTACTGTTCAGCGATAAATGAATCATGTCACACTCAAGTTTACAGTAAAACACATTCTAGCTTTTCTAGACTGTAATTGCTACCAATGATTCTATAAGTAAGGCTACTCTTGCCCACGAAAAATTAACAATTGTACATACAGCGAGTACAAGTGTTGTAAATGTGGCGTCAGAATGCAGCCTTTACATCACTTCTAAAAAATAGTACATCATATGAGTAACTTTAAAATGGACATGAGAAGTATAACTTTACTCTTCTTTATATAAGGAAACCTATTACTTCACTAACAGTTCTATTCACGTTTATATTTTGAAAGGGCCTGCAAATCATTCCTCCATGGGACAAAACTTTTGACTGTTTTCAATTCAACAAGCAAGTATTCCTTTACCTGTTATATGATACATTGTGTATTTATCACTTACAGATTTTTGTAGCATGAAATTGTTTGCCTTTAACATAGTTTAAACCCAATGATGAATACTTCACATATCATATATAAACATATATACATTGTATGTAAATCAACATTAATAAAGTATTTTATTTTATAAGATTATGTGATGATTGTGACTTGTTTTCAATTTTGTTGTAATTTTGGATTGGATGCCTAGAATCCTATCTTTAGAAGAAAGAAAGAAAACATCTTATGTATTTGGTAAATAAATTAATGACAAAAACAAAACAACAAAAAAACAAAAATTAATAAACATAAAAGCACAATAAATGATAACTACCTATAATGATATTGTCTATAAAACAAAACTGCTTTTCATATTCAAACATACATAGTACTATATATAACGTGAAACAAATATGTATGGATCTATTTTCTCTTTGAAGTTTTATGTTATCAAATCATTCATTATATACACATATTTAAACAATGTAAGCTGTTGTGGTCTGCTACTTTGTGTGACACTTAGTTAGACCCAAACACAAATATATATTTCTTGTACTTGCATTTACAGTTCAGCTGGGAAACATGTGAATGCAAACATATCCCATATAGTTTGATGATATTTACATGTAACAGAGAAATGACACAGTAAGGTCATCAATATCAACTCACATACGAAAAGAATACAGCTTCTGTAACAACCTCAACGTTTTGTCACAGAATGACCACACTATCTGTTTCTAACTTGTCTTAAGACGATAATGCTTAGCCACAGACAATAATATGTGAACCACTTTCAGACGACCTACAAACTAGGTTGTGATAAAGCGGTATATAAGAACCTTAAGTTATTGTTATTATTATTAACTAGCTCCAACCAATTAATAATACTGTTATCCAGCTGGTCAGTGACAGAAAGTGGTCATTCCGGGGTATGTTGTGTGGTTATCTAACGACATGTTGATGATATATAAACAAATGTCAAATGAAGAACATAATTATTTAAATCTGAATCTGTGAAAACTTTGCGACACATAAAAGATTCCACACCTGTAACTACATACCCGGTATGTGCTTATGAATACATCTATCTATTGTATCTTTTTAGTCTTGGGATTATCTAAGACTCCATTAGGCTGCATTTTGCAGAATTAATTTAGATACTGAACTTGGTCACCAGAAACACACAATAGCATATAAATACTGAAAGCATCCATTCTTGTCACACTGCACTCAAAAATAAATAGACTCTTAAATGCTATATAATGTTGATGAAATAACTAATCTTGATTTGATAAAAAGCATTTTTATCTCCTTGCTATATAATGTCTCAACGTAATCCCATCCGATGTATGACACCGAGACACTGTATTCACAATACTCCCAACAGGTGGCGCTGTGAGGCCTATGTGACCCGGTAGTGGTAGAAGTTACAAAGCCCTCGACTGAAGTTCCAGCCAATCACGAGAGAGAGAATGTACAATAATATTACTCCTGTAAGGGGGAATAACAATGTCCGTGTATTTCTTAAAAACGGGAGCGCTGAAACAAAGCAAACAATAATTAACAATGATGTTACAATAATGTCAGTATAATGTATCACATGATATCTAGTCAAAGGGAAGTAAACGAAGTCCAATAGATCATAAAAGACATTTTTAGTCAAAAATTTCTAGGCAAAGGGAACTTAATCAATCTTTAACAAAATAAAGGGGTTTTTTTTCAAAAAGAAATTGTAAACAACCTTCAACGAAAATAAAAATAAAAGACCTTGTTTTTCATTAACCATGACTTATGGTGCAAGACCAAATCAACCTTGTACGGTCTGGTATTTTCAGAGTCAAATATTACTTGTACACCTTCGGACAGAAATAAAAAAAAATTAACAGCCCTAGTTCTTCAGAAAAGCCGATACTGCATACCAGAAAATTGCTGCAGCTTCCCTATTGCCTTGTTCATCTTAGGTAATAAGGGCAAAAATTATCATGACAGAGAATTTAAGTACAAATATCATGCAAATCAATTACATGAGAAGGGCTAGATGGATTTGGATTGTAACGCATAGCTGATAAAGGGAAAATTTTTGAGCACAACTACCCCATATATACTGGTCCATAAATTATAAAATACATACATGTACATTTCTTTAAAGCAGCTGTTGCATGATATTAGTGTTTTCAAACAGAATACCAGTTATATAATTAACTCTTTATTCTTGTGAATTTTGTATATTTGATAAATTATAAGACCTGCCGAGATATACAAGATATATTGAGAAATAAGCTGGGAGCTACTTTTACATAATCACACAGAATGTTGACACTCACCACTGTAACCTAAAAATGTGATGTAGATGTAGTAAAATATGGCCACCAGCCAGAACGTGTTCCCAATGAGTAACCCTATGAAGTGGTCCTGGTTAATTAAAGCTGAAAATAAAATAACAATGATTATATACATGTGTCAAAACTCGGAAACTTAATCCTGTAAAACTCTGCAGTCAGACACAGAGTTTATTCATAAATGAGTGTAAATATCTCCAAATTTGAAATTTGTATAACTACGTAAGTGGATCACTGAACTAAAACATCAATAGATTTGGATTACATTATATACAACATCAGTAATTTTTTTATATTATACAGTAATTCAAAGGAAATTTTTCGGCATAGATGTTAAATATAGACTTAACATGTTAATATCTCAAAATTTGAAATTTGTATAACTAAGTGGATCACCGAACTAAAACATCAATAGATTTGGATTACATAATATACCTGTAACTTTTTTATATTAACATTTCATAACCTTACACAGTATTTCAAAGGAAATTTTTCGGCATAAATGTTAAATATATACAGCCTAAACATGTAGTAAGAAATACACATTATTTATATGTACCAGTAATACATAAACAGAGAGTAATTTATCTCGACAATAAGAAATACACATTACTTATATGTACCAGTAATACATAAACAGAGCGTAGTTTTTCTCGACAATAAGAAATACACATTATTTATATGAACCAGTAATACATAAACAGAGAGTAGTTTATCTCGACAATAAGAATATACATAAACATAGAGTAATTTATCTCGACAATAAGAAATACACATTATTAATATGTACCAGTAATACATAAACAGAGAGTAGATTATCTCGACAATAAGAAATACACATTATTAATATGTACCAGTAATACATAAACAGAGAGTAGATTATCTCGACAATAAGAAATACACATTATTAATATGTACCAGTAATACATAAACAGAGAGAAGTTTATCTCGACAATAAGAAATACACATTATTTATATGTACCAGTAATACATAAACATAGAGTAGTTTATCTCGACAATAAGAAATACCCATTATTTATATGTACCAGTAATACATAAACATAGAGTAGTTTATCTCGACAATAAGAAATACACATTATTTATATGTACCAGTAATACATAAACATAGAGTAGTTTATCTCGACAATAAGAAATACCCATTATTTATATGTACCAGTAATACATAAACAGAGAGCAGTTTATCTCGACAATAAGAAATACACATTATTTATATGTACCAGTAATCCATAAACAGAGAGTAGTTTATCTCGACAATAAGAAATACCCATTATTTATATGTACCAGTAATACATAAACAAAGAGTAGTTTATCTCGACAATAAGAATATACATAAACATAGAGTAATTTATCTCGACAATAAGAAATACACATTACTTATATGTACCAGTAATACATAAACAGAGAGAAGTTTATCTCGACAATAAGAAATACACATTATTAATATGTACCAGTAATACATAAACAGAGAGTAATTTATCTCGACAATAAGAAATACTCATTATTTATATGTACCAGTAATACATAAACATAGAGTAGTTTATCTCGACAATAAGAAATAAACATTATTTATATGTACCAGTAATACATAAACATAGAGTAGTTTATCTCGACAATAAGAAATACACATTCTTTATATGTACCAGTAATACATAAACAGAGAGTAGATTATCTCGACAATAAGAAATACACATTATTAATATGTACCAGTAATACATAAACAGAGAGTAATTTATCTCGACAATAAGAAATACACATTACTTATATGTACCAGTAATACATAAACAGAGAGTAATTTATCTCGACAGAAATATCAATACTTTAATAAAAACGTTAAAATCATGTCTTTAGTGCGAGTAGCTTGACTTTATACTTCTGAATAACACTTTATCCACACGAGTAAGAATTAACATTTAACTTTTATTGACGCACAAGAAAAATATATTAAAGTTCATTTACAGAAAACTAACACTGCCTCACTTTTGAACAAAGGATATCATTTTACCTATGGAGAAGGATTACATTTTACTTACGGAGAAGGAAAATCAGCTGAAACAGGTGCAGTATCATAAGGAGAGGGAAGAAGGCATTAAGATGGACGTCAAATGCGTATCCCCACTCTACGTCTTGTCCCCGGGGAGGAGCAAGGATCATATACTTATTGGTGATAAACCTGTCAAATAAATCGTCCAGGTGAAAAAAATCAGCGAATAATTTAATTCAATTATACTGTAATCGTGAAGAATTATGATAATCAAGTAACAAGACCAACATGTTTTAATTGTTACGGGGAATGTTGCACAACTTTGCCTGGAGAGCTTCATAAATTCCATTATACAAAAAGAAACTTACCAAACTAACATTAATGATCAACTGCACACATCAATCAGCACCTACATGATCACGGTTCAAAGGTACATACAAACCCAAAAATCTTTAATAAGGCTTCTACTTCACAATGTACATGTACACACAAAATATATCTATATACATATTAACCAAATTCCACGGGTTCACCCGTTGTCAGTATAATGTGACCGGGCGGACTGCAGTGCTTGGTGCCTTCGGCATGGCATTTCAGTGAGATAGCACTATAAAGTCTGCATCAGATCCGTGCTATCACAAGGAGGCAAGCACACCAACAAACCCAGCCTCCTGCACACACACACACACACAAACATGCATACACTACACACATGGAGGCACGTCCTTAAATGACCTTAGCGGAATAGGACGTTGAACATAATTAAACCATCCACTGTGCTACATATGTAGCAAATAAAAGCGTCCAATAACCATACAAGATTCCTCTGTACACACAAAATAATGTATCCAAGGTTCCAACGTACATATATACAAATAGGGAATCATGGCTAAACGATTTCTACAGTACTTATGTGTATACGTATCAACCAGTTATATAGACCAACAAAAACTTAATCTCAGGATATGACACCTAGTTTGTTGAAAACTTTTGATCCAAATTCCAGTTTTACCATACAATGAAGCATGCTCTACTCTAAATTCAATACAAGCCATTCGGATTGATATGTCTCGCCTGTGCCCCGCGCTGACCATCAATGCACATATCAGAGAAACTTACTAAAATGCAAAAACTTAATGGTGATGAAGATGCTGACAAAGTCAACGGACCATGAATGGTAGAGCGCATCCAGCATTTGATGCATGGGTTGAGATGTACTACCTAAAATGCATCTATAGTCGAAGTTTAGTTGGTTTAGCACTTCTACTTTCAGTGAAACAAAGTTAAACGCAAAAAACTTAATGTTGACGCTGCCACCGTCTCTGGAAAAGCAACACCTTAGTCGCGCTTCCGTTACTTCATCACGGACGAGACAAAAAAGTGAGGGAGATAATGTATTCTAACACGATTCGTTTGCAACGCGTGTTTTGATTGGATACGGACCATGTTCTAATCTGCGATGGAATCATGATCAATCGTGTTAAGCTCCTCCCATCGCACTTAAGCCACGCCCCGTTTCAAACCTAAACAATATGGTGCCAAGCTCGCCTCTTATCGAAATCCCGCTGATAAGGCTAGCAGGCAACAGAACAGAAAGTAAACGACCGATGAAATGTATTTGTTGAATGAATTAAAAAGTACTCATTACTGAAACGTTCATTCCATCCGTGTGAAGGCATATTTTAAAGTTAGGTCCCAAATCAAATGAAACATTTCACATGTGTCGTATGCATTTATTTACACAAAACTCTTCACAAATCTATACAAATAATCGCCGATTTTGTCGATAAGCACAGATTGGTATGCATACCGACATGGAAATGTAAGAAATTGGTCGATATCAATCCAAATGTGTCGTAGAAACTTTGGTAGCAGGACGTTCACGAACAATCCAAATATTCTGCCTCGTCAACATACAGATCGAGCGCTCGCCAGTATGGGCGGGGCCAAATGACCGACTTTTGAAAGCTTCTTTCCGATTGGTCAGTCCGCTGCAGATTGACACGTCGCCAGTTCAGGTCACAAAGTATTTTAATACGTACTTTGTACAAGGAAATACAATGTTTCTAAACATATTAGCGTAGTATATTTGTTAAGGTGTGTTAGAATGGTGATAGTACGTTGTTTTTGTGTCTATACTGGCGATTAGAACATGAAATTTGGTTTAAACTCTCGACCCATCGTTCTCGAGTTCAAACCCAAATTTCATGTTCTAATCGCCAGTATAGCCACTCAAAACAACGTACTATCCCCTAAATAACAACAATTTTCAATAAAAACCTTTCATCTATCTCTTACAGCATTAAGTAAATAAAATGTAATGGGCATTATAGGTAACAAATGAGTAAAGGCTATATATATGGGAAAATCCTTTATAATTTCATCAATAAAAACTATTCCTACACATAACATAAACAAGGTGGTTTTTTTTCCATGATTAGAACATTTTGTTAACAAAAAGTTACCTTTCGAGTTCTCGATTTTCATCTCATTTGGTAAGAAGACATTTTTATTTTTAATTTATTTAGTTATTTTCATAGCTGTTGGTGGGCTAAAAACTACTTCGTCAAGGGTGAGACAAATAAAGTGAGAAAGATAATTCAATAATAACCATTTTCAATAAAAACTTTCATGTATCTCTTACAGCATCAAGGATAATTTAATACATTTATTAATGCTCAATAAAACTTAATGGGCATTATAGGTAACAGATGTGTGAGGCTACATTGTACATAAGGGAAAATCCTTTATAATTGCATCAATCTTACCAGAATAAAGTTGCTATAAGCAGGCCTACTCCCACGCAGTCCACTAACACAACCCACAGTATAAACTTGAGGAACCCCACAAATGTAAGCCCCAATACCAGTGCAAATCCTATGGATGATGCTGTAATAGAAACATAATATCAATAGATAATAATAATAATAATAATATACAACATTTATATAGCGCCCTATTTAATTTGTAAAATTACTCTAAAGCGCTTTTAATACAACATATGGATAATAGTAATAGTTATTAAATTAGATATTAAATTCAAGTCTGTTATATGTTTGTGAACTGTCGAGCTATGGCAAATAATGATATATGTATCAGTTGTATAGTCATATCACACCAATATTTCTGTGCGTCTTTGTCTCTCCTTACAAATTAAAATAAATATCCGCAAATAAGAAAATATCTCTTAAAAAAAATAAGTGATATGCATTTAATGAAAAAACATTTTGCAAGATACTTTTTTAGGTTCAAATTTTACTTAATTTCCCGCATCTTTTTGGAGGGATGCTGAGGATAAAGTGCCTCAGATTCATATCCCTCTTACAACCTATAGCCTTATGCAGGAGGAATCATTCCCTTTGTTCACTCTTATCCTTCATTTCTTTTCTGATGTTTTATTTTCATTCTTGCATTCTTGTATTATTCACTCCAATCATTTGTTATAAATACTGCAATTTAATTGACATTTAATCCCCCCACTCGTTCTTCTACATGTATACTAAAATGCATTTATATTCAAAACAACCTGAAAAACTTACCAATCAACCAAAAGCTCAACAGTACCAGAAATGCTGGGTCATCTCTCGCCCACTGGTCTTTCGTGTCTGAAATGTTAGATGGAAGTGTAATTTATAAATATTACATTCATTATATTATATTATATTACATTATATTACAACATCTGATATGCAAATCAGAAAGGTAACTGCATGAGAGTATCAAAATTGTGATTTTTTTAAATGAGGTTTAAAGTTCTGGAAAATAACTCAAAACTGTCCTAATTAAGCACCATCAGAACATTCAGTTATCAGTAGTACTTTGAAGTTATGTTTTTATACCCCAAAATAGCCTTTGACTTTTTGGGTTAAAAGGAGAGAAAAAAATTGAGTCTTCAAATTTCAGCGAAAATGTTATTTGACCTCAATGTCAAGGGTCAACTGAAATCCCTGAACTACTCACTTACACAACACTGAACATGGAGATTAAAACAACAATTTACCAAAATGCTGTTATGAAAGTTGATGTATTTGTTTGTTTTGAATTTCTAAGCACTATAACTTCTAACTTGTACAGACTGTCAATATCCTGAATCTATGACTGCTTCATCAGAAACATTCAATTACTTTTTCCAAAACTAGCACAACAAAGCAAAGTGATGTGTGACAATCAGAAGTCCCCCATGCAATGGTAATGATATTTCTTTTGTTTACTTTACAAAACTACACACTTATCTATTTAACACTTGTAATAAAAAGAAACTATGCTGAAACATAGAAGTATTATAAAACGTTTAAAACGTTTTTTTTCTATTCACCATTTTGTTTTGCTGCAAATATAAAGTACATGCAGTAACCTCATGGCTCAGACAATCTGTTCAAATGATTAACTTGGAGATAAAATAAGTCACATTGGCCTACTTTAGATATATGATGTTGTACATGTATATATACGTATCTGACGTACCAAATACAAGTACTAAATTTGGACACTCCAATTGAGATGGGCAGGGTAGTACGGTATTAACATCAACAAAGATGTTGTTTTGACTAGAATTTAAATAATCATACTTATTATTTCATTCCTATTAGTACTGTTACAATTCTTCTATTTATTAATGTAAAAGTGATACTTACGTTTTCTGTATTGAAAATTTCTGTACCTGTAAAAGTTGACAAAAAATGTGAAGTTACTTAAAATATCTCAAATAACCTAAAACATGAAGCATTGGGTAAATAATTGGTCATCGTTTAACAAGCACAGTTAAATCAGTAACCTCGTTTTATAGAAATATAATACATATTTATAAATTATCTAATAGAATAATCTAATACCAACAATATTATACATATCCTTTTTGTGAAAATATGGGGAACATCTTCATGGGCAGGACAAAATAATGAACAGAGTTAATTGTGTGTGACTTTTTAACTACGAAAGAAAGAAAATTTGATACAATGTGGGTAAAATTAAATTATGATGTTTTATAAAATGTTGTGTAAAATCAAAGTTTTTAGCTTGAACATTTTAATTACTATTATAAATTGGCATCACATACATGTACATAGCAGCTGATCATGGTCATGAGCATTGCCAAACTTTACATTTTGGAAAGGACGCTTAAAATAATTCAATGTCTTCCTATGCTAACCACAGGAAGAGGATTTCTGTTTCCAATGAGAGGATATTTTATGATTAAAGGGTAATTTAAAGATATCTTTTCTGAATGGGAAAATAATTGTTAGTAATTTGTGCTTACACTTTTTGTGGCGCTACAAACAAATATATCATCTGCCAAAACGCATATTCAAAGTCCATCTGACGAAACTTAAACAAACGTTTAAGGTATTTCTGTCTCTTTGCTGTAGCTGTGAGTCTGCTGTCATTTTTTGAGTCCTGTCTTGACAGCCTGTTCGCATCATTATCTCGGCTGAATGATGATCCCACAGAAGATGTTGGAGATGCAGGGGGAGAAAATCTGTTGTTATCTGCCATTATTTTTCTGTCCAGCCATGCATTAACAAATCATCTCTGGATAGTCATATCTAAAGGTAAAAAAGAAATATTCTGAAGTTACATGTATCCATACGTGCCGATAACAATCTCTCTTTTAAAATGAATGCTACGAAATGAAACATTATCTAAAAGTTCATTTATATATCTGGGACTTGCAGAACTTCATTTATCTTTTATAAAGTTTTGAGAGATCAAACGGCCAAAGATCAAGATGGCTGTGGTAAATGTCGTTTCCAGTATAAAAGTTGCATGATTAACTGATTTGGCGGTCAAGTGGTACATTAATTATGTATACTTCCAACTGTATAAGTAAACCAGTAGCAAGTAAAACATTGAAAACTTTGGACGAAAATGGCTGAAATTTTATCTTATTCTACCAAGGGACATCTGCTGACCAGTACGTATACAGGTACCCTGTTGTTAGATATTCAGCTTGGAACAGCATACCCATTTTTTTTTTATTTGCATATTGTTTTGTTTGCTTTTTCGTTGTATAATGGAAGTATACATGCCTCCCTATAACGTGATGCATATCTATAATCCAGTCAATCCTAGAAAGTTAAGTATCTCGGGAATGACATATTGAATCCATAAAAATCATTTCAACTCAGTATAATAATAAATAATAATTTGAGGTTCTTATATACCTCTTTCACAACCTAGTTTGTAGGTCGTCTCAAAGCGGTTCACAAATTATTATCCGTTGTTATAGGGCCTTAGCAACCAGCCATTATATTTTTTTACCTGTGGAGCATACAGTCGGTGCTGCCATTTAGGCACACACAGCTAGCATTCAACATCTCTAGCACGGCCCAATCACATACTCATTTACAGCTGAGTAGACTGAAACAAGTGGAGTAAAGTATCTTGCTCAGAGATACGACACAGTGCCGTGCCTCGAACCAGCAACCCTTCTGTCACGAGCCTGGCGTCCTACCACTAGACTACCGTGCCCCATAATGTATCTTAATAGAATATAAAATTAACAATTCCCCTCTATAAATGTCGGAGATAATAGGGTTTATTTATGCAATAGAAGCGGACAAAATGCATGGCTAACCGGAATTTGAACCAAGGACCTCCAGAGCTCTAGACGGATATAACCAATTGAGCTACCTAGTTATTAGTGATCAACCCAGTCCAGTTCCGCTACATTGCTTCGCCACCAAAAGATAACACTATTTACAACCCAGATTTGGTATTCCCTTGTCAAGTTTACACTCAGAACTTGAATAATTGGTTGGTCACAGGCCACTATTTTAATAGGAGCGGAAAATGCATGGCTCGACTGGGATTTGAACCAGGGACTCTATAAACTTTAACTATAGATGCCATGGACATGTACACTCTAAGAAATTGAGGCAATAAATTATAACTTGACGTCCATGATCGACCCAGTTGAGTTCCGTTACATTTATTGGATATCCAGGAACTTTAAATAACTTTGTCTTACTCGTTCTTAGAAAGTACCATACTATTTAAAACAAATTTCATATAATTATGTCAGCACTTTATGATTTACATTTCTAAACTGTTAAATACATTACCAGAGCACTTTCCTATGATTTTTGTGGTTTTGACTGGCCACTACCATCTTATTTTGAATCACGTAAAATATTATAGAATCTGATTAAGTTATAACACACAGTAGGCCTACAGAAACGTCATATAAATCGAAGTAGACTTTTCTTTTCAGCACACACCTTCATATCATGTTGGTTATATCACAAATAGTGTGGCACGCCTTCAAAACAATGGATTATGCTGAAAAGTTATTCCCAGATTATGACAGACTTAGGCTTATCGTAAATGAGTAATTGACATTCGTTCGTTTACACGTTGTCAATCCAAATCACAACTTCCGCTACAAATATTTCGTCCTTTAAATTACACATACTACGACAATATTTACATTTATTGGGGAAACAATGGAGCTTGTACACTAGAGCAAGCACTGGTTGTTGACACTCTATCTGTATATTCGACAATTTCTCACTACAAGTTAACTCGTAAGTGAGTGAAATTATTCTTACCTTTACCGGAAGTAAGCTATATCGGATCATCGTTGTCACAGAGACGCTTGAAATAAAGGGAAATAGGGAAGGCGGGAAACGGACGGATGGGCAGGACCTTACAGCATGCTTAATTTCGCTAAAAAAACAATCGCTGCTAAATAATTCATTTCAATCCAACAGACCCGAAGGGTATTATAGATCACTCATTTATATGACGCGACGCGCGATAATAGATAGATAGAACTTTTAAACTGTTTCAAGGTGGTACTATTTATTTGTTGCAGAGACAGGTTATTCCATAAATTATAGGTATATTATATAGTTAGACTAAGACGACAGTGAGGAATTTGATATTCATCTCTATTTCTAAGATTATAAGCAGACAGGTCAGACACTTTCGGAAGAAGATGAGACACAAGATAGTTTGGTGAATTCCCTGACTGAATATTATAAAAAAGACTGAGTTTTCTGAACATTCTACATTCTTTTAAGGGTTGCCAGTTTAATTTAAGTAACATATTCTCTCTCTCCCGTCGTGTCATGCCATTATTGGTAACTACGACGTATACAATGCAAACTGAAAACTAAACTAATTCTTGATATAGTCGAAATTTACTTGTAAAAATTGGCAAACCTGTAACTTGATTATTCTTGCGGCTTCTGATACTGGATGTTTTCAATAGCTTCTGTGTCTCTTTCGTTACAGTTATCCCAAACCTCACAAGCATATTCTAAAAGAGGCCGAACATCATATATCAAGTATAATTTCTCTAATGGGTGGCGCAGTGGATAGCGCAATTACCTTTCACCAGGGCGGCCGGGGTTCGATTCCCCGATCGGACGTGAAAAGGTATGGGGTCACCTGCCCGAACACTTGGGTTTTCTCCGGGTACTCCAGTTTCCTCCCACATCAAGACCCCATGCGCGCTAAAATCCGGGCCAACAAGAGTGATAAAGTTTATTTTATAATTTCTCTAGATTCTTCCTACTTAAAATATATTTTAATGTTCTAAGGGTTGATAAATACTTCTTAGTTTTATCACGAACTTAGATCTAATTCCGTGGTTATATTTATAATGCTATCAATATGAATACTCCATTTAGCATCCCCAATAATGTTTACTCCTAAATACTTATGAGAATTGATTGTCGGAATCGAGTTTCTGTCAAAATTAAATTTTGGTTCATAATATAGAGTCAGAAATGAGATTAATAATGATTCAGTTTTCCGTGGATTCAAAGCCAGTTTTAGTTGTTCTAAATCAAAATGTATTTGCTTGCTCCAATTCGGTCAAGTTCCCAGATGAATGTGATAATGCAGTAGCATCAGCGAATAGCCGAGCAACTGATAATAAAGTATCTGAAATAATATATACGTCTCTGATATACATGAGAAATAAAAGTGGCCCTAAGACTGAACCCTGTGGGACTCCCACTTTGAGAGCTCTTTCAGAAGATGTACAATTAAATTCATTTCTCATAACAACTGATTGTTTTCTTTCATGTAGTGTTCAAACCATTTCAATAAATTTCCCGTGATTCCGTATTTATCAAGTTTCAAAATCAGACCTCTGTGCCAAACCCGATCGAAGCCTTCGAAAAATCACAAAATATAATCGCAGTGTGTTCTTTGTTAGTTGATGAGTAGTGGAGTGGTTTTGAAGAAATCCAAACTGTAATTTATACGACAAGTTATTTCAACAAAGTAATTGTACACATGCTGATATACGACACGCTCAAAAACCTTTCCTACACAGCTCAATAACGAAATTGGCATGTAGTTTTCTGGAAGATCAGAACTATCTTTCTTGTAAAGTGGTATACCATGATTGCATTGTGCCTAGCACGTATTAAAAACACATTTTACACACATTCTGATATGGCGTCCTTCCGTCCACTCGTTCGCCCGTCCTTCTTTCGGCAGAGCCGATAAAACATTTTAGGATTCTCACTACGTATTTCATTCTCCAACCGCTACTTGACTCATATAATGTACAGAGCAAACGGAATGCATTTTTTTTTTGAATAGTCAACACTTAAGATTATACAAATTTTGAATTATAATTAAAACAGAAGCGAAAGCAATCTGGAACCGTCGGCACTTTCCGTAAACACATTTTCTCGTTCACGGAAAGGGACGATGGTTCCCGATTGAAACGAATGGTGTAGCATCCTTCATCCGGGAATATACTGAAAACGTGAAAAGGGATCATCTGTATGTCGTCAGTGTTTGGGAACAGTTCGCGTTAAGTATCTACGAAATTTAATCATTTTACTTTTCTTTGACTTCAAACTTTCGCACATCTTCCAACATTTATGACTTCATCTCGCAAACAATTGATTTAAATGGTTGTTTAAATTACACTTTTTAAACCATTTTTCCTGTTTAATTTCACATTGATAGCAGCAAACAATTATAACAGAACTATGTGTTATGTATGACACTTTTCATTAATATTGCTAAATTGTTCTTATCTTATTGTAAGTTGCATATTACAACATACAACTATTGCCCCCATGTGAGGGGTTCATTCTGAATTGTCAACCCGAAAGAGGTAATATCATATCTTCAAATTATTCTTCAATTAGTATCATGCCAGGCAGTCTTAAAATAAATTATTAAAAGAAAGTCTTGAACACTACATAAACTTCTACCAGATTACAAAAACATAGGTTATTACAGGTACAATGCGAACACCAAATTAATCAAGTCAACAAAACCGTGTTGAGATGACAATGCTCCCGTTTTCATTTACCAGCATATGTTTAAGTACAATAAATTATTATAAAATTAAATATTTAAATTTGAAACCTGGAGCAAAAATAAATAAATTGAGATTACAAGGTGTTATCACTGTACCAACATTGTATTTAAGATTACGTGGTGTTTTTACAGTACCAATACATTTTTTACCTAAAATATGCCCATATTTAGCTTGAATATCACTTACATCATACATACCTTGACATATACCTCCATTGTCAAAATTCTTAGTCTGCCCCTCCTTCTATGTGTATGTTTAAAATATTCTTTTATTTTTATATTTTACATTTTGTCATTTTATCAATATTTTCGTTATTACCTGATAAATGAAACCGGAGTTTGGTTCAGGAGTTTAATAATAATTTAGCACTTAAATTTGATAAAAAAAAAAAATGTCTCAAGTTGAAAAACCTGAATACGGGCTGAGGTGTCGGTAATATTAGTTCAGTCGCACTTCAATGTACGACATTTCATACGTTTTTACGAAGCTATGATATGTTTAAAAGGACGGTTACAAAATATAACATGAACACGAAAATTATATTAGGATATTTTATTGATCACATAATTGTTCGGATAAAAAATTCTCCAACGCAAAAGTGACCAAAACAAAATGGACAGAATTTTGTATATTGGTAATTTTACATAACCAGGTGGTCAGCTTGACCGCGTGTATATCTGACCACGACAATACCATCTGGCCATCATATGTGGTCATTGCAGATCCATTTAGATTAGCGAAAATACATATATACAGGGAACCAATTGCTGTCAGGACCCGACGCCGTTAGAACCTTGCGATAAAATAGCAAAATTAGCAAAATCAGCGAAAATCCTATCGGTCAAGATGAACTGCCTGCAAACTGACAAATGCCAAATGGCCAATTTACGGCTACACACCTCAAACCACCTCTGATGGTCAATAGAACCATGTTTGCAACTAACCAATCTTACAAAAAAACGAAGATTTATAAATTGGACCACTGCTGGTCAACACTAGCTACAAAAGTTCCCCAGAAGTTCACTAACTATCCACACCCACAAAGCTACTTTTAGACATCCAATAAATATAAGTACAATATACATATCACTGTTGAAAAACATTCATATTGGAACTAATCGTGACAAAAACCCTAAGACAGCCAAATCGAGGCTGTGACGTCAATCACATTTCTATTCCATCACTGACTGCCATCCGCATTCTTCTCTTTGAACGGTGCAACGAATCTAAAATGAAATAAACAAATAAATAAATTTACAAGATTTAATGTAAACTTTATGCAAAATCTGTCCGTTCTTCACTGCAAAATTTTTGTCATGAATTGTAGTTTGGACATTTAGGAAAATTCATGAAAAATATATGCATTAAATTGATGACTAAAAATCAAAGCAATATATGTTATTATTATTTTGGGGAGAAACGTACCTAACGAGGAAAAGGTAACCTACCTGATGAGGGATGAGTACATGTATGAAGTGGAGGACACAATACCAACCTAACAGGGGACAGAGTACCTAGAGCGGGATATAGTACCAACCTAGCAAGGGACAGCATACCTAGATAGGGATACAGTACCAACCTAGCAAGGGACAGAATACCTAGAGAGGGATACAGTACCAACCTAGCAAGGGACAGCATACCTAGAGAGGGATATAGTACCAACCTAGCAAGGGACAGGATACCTAGAGCGGGATATAGTACCAACCTAGCAAGGGAGATATAGGACCTAATGAGTGGCAGAGTACCTAGCCAGGAACACAGTACCAACCTAGCAAAGGACAGCATACATAGAGAGGGATACAGTACCAACCTAGCAAGGGACAGAATACCTAGAGAGGGATA